TGCAGTTCTATTCACAATAAATCCGGAGAGCGGATGTCTTGAAGTAAATGTGCGCTTCAAGCATCTACCCTAGGCAGAGGTTACACAATATTTCCACGGAGCTGAAGACAAAATATATTATCAAATAATATAAATTATCCTAGTCTTAACCCCGCCATTTAATTTGTTGTGTCTAAGATTGTTCCTGTAACTGAGATCCTGGTGTGTAGTTCTTATCCAGACTGGGAACTCATGAGAAGTTAGCTAAAAAGGAATTGGCGGGTGGTAATATGGAAGGGATCAAGCCTGATGAGTGAGATATGTAAGTGCCTTTTTCCAGCTGAGCGGTCTAGAGTGTCGGAGGGCAAGACTGAACACCTGTACGCGGTGTCCTCTACGAACCTGGGAGTGAAATAAACTCCCAGAGCCAAGTTCAGTCAAACTTCGCAATACCGAACAAGTTGGCCCACGAGGCAATGATTCAAATTACTCCACCATATCAATCTTTCACTCCCAACGAAATCGATTCCTACCTAAACCTCATCAAGTTTACAAGTACGACCTAGTACATCCTAATCCCAATGACCACACCTCTTGTCGACTTTCTCTGGCCTTAGCTGGTCGCCAGATACACGCCCACGCCGATATTTACACCCGACGGAGGAAGCAAAGCGTGGCGCACAAATCTGGAAGACAATTCCTTGGGATGGATGTGAGAGGGATCAGGACAAGTTAATAAGATGATGCAGAGGATTGGATACAGTCTCGACGGGCGTGGAATTTTGAAATCTGGAAAGGAGTTTTTACAAATTGAGCTTTGTGCGTACCAAGTCTTCGGCTGCGAGAGTGCAGGCGACACTATAAAAACTGCCATGGTTGGATGGTGCGGTGGTACATCATCTTGGCCGGTCTGCCAAGTAGAGTCTGGATAGCTTGGACACATATCCCACTTGAGACAGTAGATCGCTGGTTCGAATCCGGCAAAACACAACCACATTTCTCGCGGCGCTGGTATGCATGGATGACGAAGGCATGCTTGGATAACTAAAGGTTTTTAAATTCCCTTTGGTGGGTACTAACGGAGGAGGGTCGACTGTTTGTGTAAGCGAACATACCACATAGTGGTATTTGCAAATGAAATCCAGAGTATGAGTGTCTCTAATGTCAAAAGAGTCATCCAATATGTATACATAGCACCGGTCATGTGTCATAGCTAGATAGCTGAATACACATTAAATGATTCAAAAAAAAAAAAAAAAAAAAAAAAAAAGGTCTAGAGTGTCGCTCACTGGTCCCAATTCGGCATGACACATGAGGGGGCCAGCTTCACCGGTCTTCCGATGAAAAGGATGACCTGTCCAATAATGGTAACCTGATGCAGTGTGTTTAATTCAGTAGCATCACATTCGGGCTCTTTCCAGGGACCTGTCAATCATTTGTCCAAGCCGGCAAAGACGAATTCTTCACCTTCCAGTGGTGCCGGTGTAATCGCTCAGTATGCTCTGCATATCTGGGATAGCCAAGAAGAATCGCATCCGAATCGAAGTCGAAAGCAACCTCAAGCACATCTCCATTTCATGACTTCTCAACAATGCCTCTCTTACTATTCTCATCTGAGTCCTCAACCTCTCTCCAACCACACATCATCTCGCCTCGACGACCAATAAAGAAGTTGCTCCAATTGCATACAGGAGCTTGCCTCATTTATCACCGGCCATCACTCACTACAAATTTACGACGCTATTTATACCCGCAAGGAAATCAAGTCGAAAAATACAAAGCCTGGGTCTTGGCTTATGGGAGACTGTTGCTCTAATGGGACAAACAACTTGAGGGAAAACAGGCGCCTGAGATTTGGAGCGAGTGGGGGATGAGGTCTCTGAAGAGCATGTTGAGACTGATATTTTCGAGGGGTTTTCAACTTTGGAATGTTTGTGGGAGTCAAAAACGAGATTTCGGATAATTAGCCAGGAGGGCTTCTATTATCGATGAGTCAACGGCACAAAAGAAGTTAGGCTAAGCTACTATACAGCAATCATGCTCTTTCAAGACTTCTCTGATATTTCAGCACGACCTTCGGGAAGGAGTTGGAAGGAGGCTATAAAGAAAGAGGGTGAATTTTCCGAGGTACCCACAAGTCTGCAGCGCCCAGCTGGCTGGCCTCTTCGAACCCTTCAGATGGATCACCATGTCTTCGGATCTAGTCATAATGTCGGTATCAGGAGAGCTCTGTACCCAGTGGTTTTTGCGATTTTTCCCGGCTACCATACAACCGCAAATGGCCATCGTTTCGTTGGCTGGAGAGGGGAGATAATGAAGGGTAAAGGGCTCCTCTAAGTGTATGATCGAGTGAGGACTTGTGAGGGGTGGTACTGTTTGAGGGGAGTTGCATGGAAGGCATAGGAACGGATATACTACTGGCATAGATATCCTTGGCCTTTAGGTAGAGGGGATCCGCATGTCCTACATAGTCATAGACTCAGACAGGGCAATAAAATAAATCAAATGAAATAAAAAGAATTCAATTCTAAATGCTGCCACTTCCCTCTCCCAGGAAGCTTCTTGGCTATTTCACCTCACCAATTAAGCAAGTGAACATCATAGTAGTCTGCCATAGACTTATTATACTCATTCACCTCGCAAAACGCCCTGTAGGCTTATTGTGTAAGATAATCTACTGCTTCCACAATCAAACCTGGAAAGTCTACTTGGATACGTAGTGATAAGCTCTCTTGCAGGACTCACTAATCTATTTAAAATACAGATACAGAGTTACGGTAAATTTTCACCAGTACCAACAGTCTAATTGATTATGTCGAGAATTAAAAGATTGAGTAGGCTACTGAAAAAAAACACATACCCACTCTCAGGCAGGTGTAACCTGGTCAAGCCTATTAGAGTCTCCTCTTTGGGCACCATGAAGCTACAATCAAAGATGATTAGAATGCCAAGATGATCAATTCCGGCACCCGCCTGGCACATTCCAGAAAAAGAGGCACACATCCCAGCGGTAGCTGAGCAGTTTCAAAGGCCCTCACAGCAGAGATATATTGAGGTTAAATTTATCACAGAAAAGATTCTGGACGAAAATCGGCTTAAAAGAGTACACGATATTAACTTTAAACAACCTGACTCCACAAAACTTGGATCCTATAGCAGTTGCTAAAAAAACGCACTCAAGTATCACTGAATCTCTCCAAGCTGGAATCTTGTTCTTTCGCCCTATCCCAAACAGCCTCTAAGAAATAGTGTCATGCCACTTTGAGAATTTTACTTTTGCCGAGATAATATCTTCTATGAGATCAGCCATGTAGCAGATAATACTTTGTATTTTGAGGAAAGGGCCCTCCATTACGGTAATCAGCCCGGCGCATCGAATTGAAAATAACCAATTATATGATATAAGTGAGGCTAGAGCCATCTCTAAAATTTACCCTAGCATCGGACTATGCAGATAGCATAGCGCAATCGAGCACAAATCTGAGGACTGTAGAGAGGCAAAACTTCGTATAAACTACCGCAGACTCCACTGAGGACATGGGACCTTCTGAATTACATATATGGCACGTGTCAGTGCAAGGATATCGCGAAAGTTTTCGAGTTTATATCATGGAATCAATCATATAAATTAATTCTGAGTTATGTGTTGTCCATATGTAGAGATATATGTTCTTAGTCGAAAAGAAAGAAGGATATGCTGGTTAAAATTAATTAGTAAGATAGCAACTCTCAAGAAAGGAAAAGCTGATGGATACGTGTTGGAAATTCAGACTCTATGTGTCTGAAGTTTCCCCATGATTGGAACAACTAAGATTCTCACACATGACTCACAGCCTGACTCATGACCTAGATGATTGATATCTCCTTTACTGAGCATGTTTGATGCGTGAGACTCGACTAGTGCATGGTATGGTCTGATACACGTGAAGGCTTTCATCCATCGACCCTTACCTCATACTCATGTTGTATACTGTCGTGCAATTCATTGTCATTGTTAAAGTATGGAACGAGTGATGGATGGTATCTAGTTTGGATTTGGTCTATCAAGATTACATGTATATAAGCTGTCTAGGAATCACCAAGACAGATAATCTAATCAATTCAATTCATTCAACCCATCTTTTTTTTCTCCATAGTATATCACATATTCTCCCGATTCATATCATTATTATTCTATTCATAAAATCACGCCCATATTCTTTGAGCCGCCTTACTCATCGAACCCATACCGATTTTCCAACAATACGTAAAAAAAAGAACAGTTGTCTGATCAAGCACCGAAAGTCCAAGAATATTGGAAAAAAGCTGTTGTGAATATCGTAAGTATGACTTGTTGTTATGACATGCTATTTATGGTAAGCAAGGACTCATGATTTCAAAGGTAACAAAGCTAAAGAGCAAACCTCTGCCTAAAAGTCATATATGTAATGAGGTTAGATTTATGGGAGTAGTGATAAAGATGTCATCAGTGCATTCATAACGCCAGACCGCCGTGGGTATCTTAATCCAACTCCATACCTGCTTACTGCATCCCGAGCCACTCAACATAATAAATATTGAGTTTTCTTAATACTTAAAAAACACACTCCTTTCAACACATCCATGTAAATATTCGAACTTCACTCCTTCGATTCATTGTCGACTGCCAAATTTTGTCAGAAGTTTAATTTATTAAATTAAATTAGAGACACTGCAGTGAAAATAGCGTGTAACATTAAGCTCTTATTCCTAATACTGAAACAACTAATACTATCATCATGTAAGAGTCTAATAATTACTTGTCTTTCATTTGATTCAAATATAATTACGAGACAAGTAAAGTTGGAAATTTTCCTATTAGGGAAATGAAAACTATTTGATATTACGTTTCCTTCTGCTTATATACCATACTTTCGTTGGTGTATTATTCTCTTCCTCAGATGTAAGTAGTTTGCTAACATGGCACTACACTATATAGATTTATCATCAGACCACTTACGCAATTAATTTTCATTTTGCTCGCTAGTTACTGAGTCTTGCTTCTAAGATTCAGGTTCGGTAGATGTCGCGTTTTCAGGCTGTTTCGCTTGTGATCTATGAGGATGGTCAGTATTTACAATAAGAATGATGGTTTATTATTTGAAAACTTCAGATGCGTCGCTGAAACATCTTTTCCGAAAAGTGAAAAAAATGGATAATTAAAAGTATAACTGAGTCCTCTCACTTACACTTTCAATGCCTGAATAGCTCTATCAAACGCCGCAATGATGGGTTCGTATAGTTTGTTGGGGTCCTCTAAATTTCCTGTTCGTGTCTTTATTTTTGAATTAAATAATATGTCCCTGAATTCCTCAGCTAGACCCTTAACATCATCAAACATCGGCGAAAATTTAAACAAGACTTTTTCAAAACTACCTAGAGTAATATAATATTTCTTGTGTAAGTGTATTTCTTGGGCGGTCCCTGTGTACCATTTGGAAAGGAAATTTTCACGCGGGTTTGTGCCCTTTTTCTATCCACAGTTAATGCAAACCCAGATTAAGACATATAAGAATGATTCTAGATCATGTCGATAATTATGAGTGACGACTGTACCTATTGTTGCAAAGCTATTACTCAGGATTTCGAGTGCAATGAATTGCATGGTACCTGTCATCACTCGAGCTTTTTCTTGAACTTTTCCATCTTTCAACAATGTCGCCAAGTCTAGATCTATCAAGACACCACCGAGCTTATCAATCTTCTCAATTCCAGTCGATAGAATATTATTCACCGAGATGTCACGATGTAATATCTTAGCGTCCATCAGTAATGACCGATGCGCCTTGATGGCATCGCTAATCCCGATGATCAGTTCCAGCGCCGATCTAAACTTATCAATCGGCCGCCCGTAAGGCGAGATCCCGGCAGCGGTAAATTGACGGTCACGTGGAATTATGACTTCAGTGTTTACCATTTTTACCGGCTTCGTGACAGACTCTTTTCCAGCTCTAGATATACTAGATCTGATATTGACACTTGATTTTGGTGGATTTGAAGCCATTCCGGGAAGTGTACTTGGTCCCGCAGAATTATTAATCGCAATTAAGCCGGCGTTACTTGAAAGTTGAATTCTCTTCATTCTGTCGTTTACTTCGGCATCACCGAAAGTTTTCCTTTTTTCGCCTGTAGACTGATTGTCTGAATGAGCAGAGCCTTCCACGATCATTATCCTGCCACAGTTTGGAATTTTGAGCGACTGCAATGAGGAAACATGTGGGTTCAATTCCGTAACTTGTTGGGTCACGGTTGTATCTGTGTTGCAGTTAGTAAGAACTTCCATTGCAACGTAATGATTTTGCCCACTTTCTTGCATTGATGGCGCTTTTTTAATTGATCCAGCCATCTCTCTTTCAGCTTGAAGTGCCTCCCTCTTTCGCTTTCGGCTCAGTTGATTATTCACGCTTTCCTTCGGAATCCGTGTCATCTTTCCACTTAAGTCGTATGGCGTAGTCATGATCTTCTCCGTCGGACAAGTGTCTTTGACCATGCTCTTGGTGAATAGAAGACCTTCGCGAAGCTGGCTGATATTTACCAGATCAACTGATCCAAGAATCTTTGCCATCCCAGGTATATTGTCCACCATCTCAAGAAGCTCAATCTCTGAGAGCCCGTCGCATATTCTCCACGAGAATTTGACCGCACAGCTGAGTGCTCTGTCTTTATAGCAACTTGTTCCCCTACAAAGGTATGCCTTCTGTTGAGAGATTGGGTTGGGATCCAAGGTGAACTTCCGTATTTCCTTCGACCCGGGCACCTCGAGATGAACTATCATATTTTCAACTTCGTATTTGACGTTAGGGTCTAGACCAAGTTCCTCGTCGTTCATCAACATGTATGTCACCAAGACATGCACGAGTTTCTCTGGTGATTTGCCAATATCAATGTACGAACAAGAATACGGTCCCGATCGGTCGTACACCCAGAGTTGCAGGTCTTTCTCGAAGAGGATGAACCCATTCATGAATCGACAAAGAGGCCGAGCCATGAACACTTCCCGCATGTATACACTGAGCTGAAGAAACCTTTGCTGGGAAACTTTCGACGAAGATACCGTGAGTTCACCCACCACAAGAATATCACGCCAATGATGCCTGTCCTCAATCGGAAGGTTTCGAATTTTAATGAAATAGTCTACCTGTCGCTTTGTCTGGTTTCCAATTATTTTTCCGGCTACGAGAGTATGAAATTGAGCTCCAGTGAGAGCTAATCCAACCCGTTCTTCTGCGGTACTCGCAGCGTCATTTGTTGTCGAGTCAGTTGGATTTCGATAGGCTTTGATTAGGTCATGTTCGATAACCTCCATCTATTTCCATACCGCATCTTCAGTCGGGACAGCGGGAAATTGGAACTTGGGCTCTGCCGAGAGTTCCGCAAATTTCTTAGTAAGGCCGTCACGCTCGACCTTTATCCGTTTGACTCAAAGTATTTGTCCCAAAAACCTATCACGTTTACAAACACCGAGCCTTCTAACTCTCCGCTAATGGCTTGCTTCAGATCGTCCATGTTCATTTGTGTCCCGTCCGGTGATTCTACTACTCGTCGGTAAATAGATTCCGTAGCTAGTTCTTCGAGCTGATCTTCTGTAGCTGACATAATATTTTCGAGTTCATCGACAAGCTCTATGAGTGAATTCCAAATTTGAAGGTCAGTCGCATGGTTCAGAATTAAAGTTGCTACTGGTTCGAAAGGGTCCAAGTCAAAAGTCGTGGAGTACATCCAGCTTTCTACAGTTTTCAACCGTGAAAGAATTTTTTAACCTGAGTAGGTATATCGAAACTTCTTTGAACGTAAACAATAAACATGATAATGAGGTTTTCAAGAGGATCCCGACATTCGTTTAAATTTTTGGGATTGTCGAATTCCCTTTCTTGCGGGGAGGGAAAGTTATCTTTGTAAAGGCTGCGGAATGATCGCAATAATTTCCCGAGAGGTTTATTTGCAAGGTGTGCTGCAATATCAATGTTAAGAGACATAATTTAATTGCTGTGTGAGGAGAGGCTTGCGTATCGATGTACCGGTTGAAAAAGATAGATAGTTGAAGAGTTGGACGGTAGAGTATAATGAGAATTGGTGAGAGGAGTGAATTGACAGATTTATATGTCGTGAGCTCTCGTACTAGCAGCGTGTCCTGACGATCTGTAATGTTTATTTTATCATAAAATATATGAAGTTTTAGCATTCTCCACTCGACATGTGAGTCAATATTATTTCAATTATCCCTACCATGGATCGACTTTGCATGGACGCTTTTAAGATTGGATGATTGGTAACATAATCCATGAAATAAATGTTATCAGTCCAACACGCGAAAAAGGGTAATCGATGGCTGATGCAAGTCCACCTTAGCGACGAATATTGAGGATTAAATAAATAAATTATTAAATAGTCCTGATTTGGCGCCTTGAGGCCCATGCAGGTTTTATCGGGAGATATGTGCCTTAAGTAGGATGACTCAATTTGTCGTTTAGAAGACTCACTCAGATTTCATTTGCAGATACCACTCGAGGTGAACCCTTACGGCGTGTAACCTCTTCCTTGCATACTCACCACAGGGAAAAGCGCAAATTGAATAGAATAACATGAAATTTCAGTCCCTACTGAGTCTAAGAATTTGAAATACTGGGAAAAGAATGAAAAACCTGTGGTTACCCGAGTGAGCTTTTATCATCCTACACGTACAGTATCTCCGCGAGAGAGGGTGGTGTCTCGGCTTCAATGTATTCGAAACAGCTTTCTTCTGTCCCAAATGGGGTAAGTGTCCAAGCTACCCAGAATCTACTCGGGAGAACGGCCCGAATGGTGTACCACTGTACCAATCAGCTTCTATCATGCTTATACTTGCTATACTACTGGCATCTCATCATAACATATGCCCTCAACTAGCACCAACACGAGACTAAGTGCCGCATGGATGACGATGGCATGCTTGGATAATAAAAGTTTTGAAACGTCCCTTTGGTGGGTACTAACGGAGGAGGGTTGACTGTTTGTGTAAGCGAACATACCACATAGTGGTATTTGCAAATGAAATCTAGAGTATGAGTGTCTCTAACGTCAAAAGAGTCATCCATAATGTAAAAATAGCACCGGTCATCTGTCATAGCTAAATATCTGAATATATTGGTACGTATCAGTCGGGAGGTGTATACTAGTATACGATATTGAAATAGAAAATTAGTAATTACATTCTTCCTATGAATCTAGTATACCATGGCTCATACAATTACATGATCGCTTAACTGATTACGTAATATCCCCTTGTACCTAGAGTATTTCTGCAAGCAACTATCTAACATATTGATCATCCAACACAGACGCCATAGTTACAACAGAATACACATTAAATGATTTAAAAAACAAAAAAGAATAAGTGCCAAGAACAGTAACGTTGTCATAGCAACATCAGGTAAAGGGTAGAAATATAAGCTGGAGAGCAAAGCTGGACACATATTCGTTGTGACTTCTATTAACCTGGGAGTGAAATATTCCTCCAGAGCCAAGTTCAGTCAAATTTCGCAATACCAATGAAGTTGGCCCACGAGGCAATGATTTAAAATACTCCACCATGTCAAAGTTTTACTCCTAACGAGATCGACTCATACCTAAGTCTCATCAAGTTTACAAGTACGACCAAGTACATCCTCACCCCAATGATTATACCTCCCATCGACTTTCTCTGGCTTCAGCTGGTCGCCAAATACACGCCCATGCCGATACTTACACCCAATGGAGGAAGTAAAGCGTGGCGCACAAACCTGGGGGATAGTTCTTTGGGATGAACGTGAGAGGGATCTGGACAAGTTGAAAAGATGATTCAAAGGAAGGATTTAGCCTCGAAGAGCGTGTGATTTTGAAATTTGGCAATGGGTTTTACGAATTGGGCTTTGTGCGCGTCAAGACTTCGCTTGCGAGAGTGCAGCTGACACTATAAATACAAGCCAACGACGGAAGGTGCTGTGGTCCGCCTCTTGGTGGTGTTCTCCGGTATAGTTTGAGTAGCCCGAGCACCTACTCCATTTGGGAAGGAGATATCTCAGACCATATTTCGCGCGGAGAAAAGTTGAAAGATGATGGAGGCATGTCTGGATAACCCAGGGTTTTTGAGATGTTCCCCTGGATGGGTATTCACGGATGAGGGTTGACTTGGGATGAAGAAAAAGCCGCCATAACTCCGCAGTGGTACTTGCAAATGAAATCAGATGCATGAGCGCTCTTCTTTGTAAATAGACACATCTTTTCTGTAATTTTTCTCCGATATTATGTCACAGCTAGATAGCTGCATACGAAATTAAAATCTAACGCAAAAGAAAAATTATAAGTTAAGATGGGGAGGGAAACTTAGAGTACTTCTTTTGACCCTAAGTTATCAGCCTTGATCGCTTCTTCGGCAACCTCGACTTCTTGACTTCGCGTCTCTCGACTATCCTGCAGTTCTCCGGCCCTTGACCACCAGGCACCTCGCCAGTTGAATTATATCTGAGTATCCTTCGGTATTAGCTATAATCCTAAAAGTTATTAATACATTACTCCAGCAAACGGCGATCTCTAGTATCCTTAGCGCACTCCGTATCACAGAGCCCATCTACCCGTGTCACGTCTCAAAAGATGTTAGGTCAGTTGTGTCATGTTAAAAGTTCCAATTTCAAATTCTCTGAAAGCAGTAGCCGTCTCTACTTCACCATGATCAAGTTATTACACCCTCTTCATCACACACCAGTTTTTCTGTCTTATAACCCAAATATTCAAATTTCGCATAGTTAGAACTCGATAGAATAATTTATCATTCTGATCAATATAGTCTTAATGCATCAATCTCGTACCTGAGCATACAATTTGGTGCGCAGAATTTTATATAATACGTTTTGCTAAAGTGGGAAAAAATTCCATGAAATCTACTGCTCTAAATTACTCTCTTGTTCCATGGAAACACTGTTTAGTGAGCGTGATATTCAAGTCATCATCCGAATAGTTGCCATGCTGATACTTGATTCAGGAGTAGCTACTTCATGAAAATATATAAATATCAATTGACAGCTACAAGTCACTAAAATTTTTAGAAGTTTGGAGAGGGTAGTGGTTCTGTAGATACTTGTGTGTTAGTGTCAGTGTCTTTATATTTTTTTGAAATTATGTTGTCAGAAAGCTTCGTGGATATCTTGAAAATTTATATCACAAATGGAATTTCCCCAGGTAACGCCATGTAATGCGAAAGATTTTCAAATATAATATAAATTTTAATTTTGTAACTCAAAGGAAAAGTTCATGTGTGGGAAGCTATCATTTCTTAAAAGTTCCAATATTACTCATAAGAACCCCCGAGTTATCTTAGAAGATTAACTACACTACGCCAAAAGAAATATAGAGAGCAAAAATTATTGCACTCTAGGGGCCTAGAAGCTTAGCTGTATTAAAAATGCTGAGATAAGCAACGCCCTAAACTCCTTTCATGCTAATAAGCTAAAGTTTTGGTGCCGAAAATAGTAGGCCCTCTAATTTTATCCAAATCAAACTGTAAACCATCCAAGACGCCATTCATCCATATTAGATCTCATACTTTAGTCCATTAAACACTTATGTGGGAGTCATTCGATTACTTGTAAACGATTTACTCCAAGCTTCTGTACTTTGCTGGTTAAAAGTAGCAAACTTATTGATGTTGGTCAGTTCTGACTCAACAGTCCAATCTTCCAAAATGTCCCCTAAGTTTCCGAGGATCGCGTCCGCGTCAAATTCTGCTATAGCGCCTATATCAAGCGTAAGATCATCTTCTAGAACACCAAATTCAACAGGTTTAAGCAGATTATCATCGGAATGACTGGAAAAGAGTCCGTCAGTTTTCTGCTTGTTTGATGAAGATAGAGAGGGCGCTTCAGAATGAGCTAGGGGACTTTTTTCAGTCTCTATCTTTCCCTCTGCCGCAAGAAAAGCTTCAGCCATTGCACCAACTCCAGGGCTCTCATCTATTGAACACTTTCCGTACTTCGAGCGAGGGCTTGGAGAGAGAAGAGGCGCTACAACCTTTTCCGGAGATTTTATCTCCTTCAACATATGATGATCAATTTCTTGCTGGTCTTCCTGCAAACATTGTGATGAGATACTAGAGCTTCGTCTTGATTTGATCATTTGCTTAGGGTACTTCAGCTCTATGGCAGAATCTAATAATCCAAATGAAACTTGTTTGTGTATTTTAGTAGAGTCTGAAAATTTATCGAGGCCTTTCCATGGATTCCTCAGAGCAGATTGGTAGAGTTTATGTACATCAGCCTGAAAGCTTGAGCGAGGCGTTTGAGTTCTAATGTAATCTGGACAACTTGAAGTCTCGGTATTCTTTTGTGTAGAATTACCTTCAACCCGGACACAATCCTGTTCAATAGTTGTTTCTTCATTTTCATTATCTTGCGTATTACCAGGTAAATCTGATGTATTTTTTTTAACTAAGTCATTGTCGAGGGGATACAACTTAGTTGACGTCTCACAGTCATCAATTATTACAGGCTGCACTTCAGTGGACCAAGGACTCTGGGGGTGTATTTGAAGATGACCTTTTCTTGAGAGAGAAGGTTCTTTTAGAAGGTCGTTTTCGACTTGTGCCAATATTTTTCTCTCCAAAATTTTGGAGTTTGCCTCATGCGATCTTGGAGTAGATAATAAATTTTTTTCAGCTTGGGATTGTGAGCGAAATTTCTTCTTGCCGGAAAGCTTCGAGGTGTCTTTTTCTGCTTTAAGGCTTATGGGAGTCGAAGGGTTTTGATGGGTTGTATCAAGACAAGGAATTCTAGGTACCTTGTAAGTTTCATCATCTATATCCGACCTTTTAGGCCTCAAAGTATTCTCTATGTCTACTTTTCGATTATCAAATTTATCGGAACCTTCCAAGAGTACTGATGTCAATCTTTGTTGGGGAGGGCTAAGACCTAAAGTATCTTCTGATATTGATAATGTGGAGCAAGAATCTTTCTTTGATGTGAAAGAGTTATTTTTAGACGATGATTTCTTATTTGATCTATCATTCGGATCTATAGGCAATTTTATTGCTTGTATATTTTTAAGCGGATTTTTAGGTTGAGAATTATATTCAGGAGAGCAATCTTGCTTTTGTGACGGAATTAAGCTCCGAGTAGCAGGATCTGTATTTGTACATACAGCGGTTTCATCCTTTGCAAGGACGGAAATTTCAGTTAAATTAGGTGTAGAACAGCTTCGAGGCAGACCTAAGCCTTTTAATGGACTTTTCGGAGGTTTTCCTTTTGAAGTCCAAGGCTGAGTTAAATCAAGTGGTAAAGAAACTGGATTTGGCACAGAATCATTTTCTAAAGATCCAGATTTGATCTTTTTTCGACGCTGTGTCAGAGAGATACCTGGCGAGTACAAATCGATAGGGAAAGAGTTCATTCCATTTGATTTTTTGAGTTTCGTTTTCGTAGAACAAGTTAATGAGGTGTCAATTAATTTTGGCGTCTCTTGATGTGACCTATTCGCATCGTTACAAATCGGACTGTTTAATTTCAATCTGTTGAAACTCTGGACTCTCGAAGTTGAGTCAATTTCCGGGCCGGAATCTATTGACGCAGTAGTAGACCCATAATTGGGAGGCGGATTTTGTAAAAAAAAGTTATTTGTCTTATTTTCAGAGTCGGACACTTTTGAGTTGTGATAACTAATGTGAGAAGTCTTTGTTTTCTTTCTGGGCTGGGAAGTCTCCCGCTCATTTAATGAGGGTGTATATTGTGATGAAAGGCTTCTTTTTCTTCCATTTTTTTTTCTTTTGACCCGCACTTTCTTCTTAAACATAAATTTATCCAAATCCCGCGAAGAGGGGGCGTAGTCTGTCACAAAACTGTGCTGTTCTACAAAATTTTGTTGTTTTAGACACAAAGGTAAAGTAGACTTTTTGATCTGGGAAGTTATCACAGGAAGTGTATTCTGCCTACTACAAGTCTGGCTTTCATTTTCGTTAAGATTATCGTAAATTTTTGGATTTTTAAGCTTAGGGATCGAAGCTGCGGGAGTCTCTGGGTCACACTGCAGTTTATTTTTCTGATCCAAATTGGCTACAGGAGATCTGCAAGGACCCAGCAAACAACTTTCTTCTTGAGGATTGTTACTTTTGAGCCCGTCTTTCTTTTTTTTTAAAGATGTAACGCTATGAAGCTTCTTTTTTGATCTCCTCTTGAAATTTTTGGATGCTATATTTGATTTTTCAGCGAGTGATACATCAGATATGTCAATCTCTTCCTGCAAGACTTGCTTTTTTATAGGCTGTAGGCTTTGAGAAGATTTGTCAGAGAGCTTTGATTTAAAATAAAATGATTGTACTTTCTGGGACGAAGCGACAGTCTTTGGCCGTCTCTTTTTGTTGAGGTGTAGCATGAGGCTCGGCGATGAGATTACATTTCCATCCCATTTCGTACATTGTGTTTGGGGATCAAGTCTCCGTGATCTTCGGGCACGCTTTAAGACTCTATAATTATAGTCTGGGCTGAGGTCATGGAAATCCGGATTTGGGGATGTATCACATTGCAGTTCCAACGAGTATTCGAGTTTGCGCTTTCTATGGAATGGAAGTTGTTTCGAAGTTTTTTCGCTCGATTTATCACCTTTTACACAGCTTTTTGCCTCCTCAGTCATGGTAATGTCACCATGTGTTGATTCGACGTGAACTGCTTCTTCAGCTGATGCTTTACACCAAGCTAAGGCGTCACCAGGAGTTAAATAGCCCAAACCATAGCTTGCAGCTCTTTTCATCAGTTTTCTGCGAGTGAGAAAAAAATTGTCAGAGTCTGGTTGCCACCAGTCCTCTTCAGTTCTGTTTGTTCCTTGCTGCCATGGATTAACCCAGTCATTAGAAAGCGGTCCCTTGAGTATTGTGGACTTTAGAATTGGAAGTTTACCACCTTCACATCTCCTAGCTTCTATTTCATATCGATGATGTTTTTGTTCAGTTTGTTCAGGGGTTTCATCCTGATCAGATCCACTACAAATGAAGTCTGACAGGTTGCACGGAGGGGAATAGTAAAAAGGTTCATTGCTGCAGGTTTTTCTCGTGGTTTCTAATTTCATGACTTATCGTTTCATTTTCAGTTACGAGGTGTGTGGAATTGGTTAAAATTCGCGATATAGCTGACGCGTCCTCATTGTTTACATCCATGCCTCGGTTGCTAGTTGAGCTGGTATCAATGGACCAAATCATGTGTCCCTATCCAATCACCAGCATGGATGCGTAGTAACCAAAATTACCTGTGTTGCTTAAACCGAGAGAAAAATTGAGTACCACAGAGTTATATTTAATGAGTAATATACTCGGTAACTTGGAGGATGTTGCAAAATAAGCTGACTGAATTTCTTACATCTTCCGGCGTCATATTATATCTTGTATTTACAACCTCCCTTTTACCACACCATAGGGGTCTGCCTGTGATCAAGACTTATTTAAGTTAAATCGATTACCGTTACTCTTCTAACTCAAAATCTAGATTTATAAAAAAGATCGTCTCAAATTATAAGTCAGAAAAAGTATAGCGCAATATCCTACATAAACCAAAAAACTTTATCTTATTATCACGAGTATATTTGTGTGCCTTACAACATTTCTGGAATTTGCAAGCTTCATGTTCTATCGTGCACAACCTAACTTATTGACTAATTATTTTCATTAAATTGCATCTATATCGCTAGATCAATAATATGTCACTGAAACTTCAACTTCAAATACTACACAAATGGTCAAATTTTTAAATTTACTTCCTTGAAGAGTAAAAAGTAAGAATCTGGGTTCACAATTTAATATGGAACTAATTAGATTTAGGAAACTGTGCCAATACACGCAGAGCATATTCATGAAGAAATCGTAAGCAATGTATAAATTCTACCAGAAATACCTCTTATCATAAAAAGCTGTGAAGGGCTTCACGTAACTCATGTAATTAAAATAAATTTGGTTTACTTCATTCCAAAATTTAATGCTCCAGCAAGATTCACACCCCTGTACGGCATCATATTGGATGAGGGGTATGACGGGGCGCAAGCCAGAGGATTCCATGCGATGCAACAAGCGGCTATGGTTGGAAGGCAAGACTAAACACCTGTTCGTAGTGCCTTCTACGACCCGGGGAGTATAACATTCCACCAGAGCCAAGTTCAGTCAAATTTCGCAATACCAATGAAGTTGGCCCACGAGGCAAAAATCCAAATTACTCATCCACTTCGTTATTTCGCTCCCAACGAGTTTGACCCCTATCTTCGTCTCATCGAGTCTACAAGTACGACCAAGTACGACCAAGTACATCCTCATTCCAATGACCACACCACTCTTCGACCTTCTCTGGCCTCAGCTGGTCACCAAATATACGCCCACGCCGATATTTACACCCGACGGAGGAAGCAAAGCGTGGCGCACAAACCTGGGAGACAGTTCTTTGGAATGGACGTGAGAGGGATTAGGACAAGTTGACAAGATGACAAGATGATACAGAGGAAGGATATAACCTCGAAGGGCATGAGATTCCGAATTTTGGCAAGGAGTTTTTCGAATTGGGCTTTGTGTGCGCCAAGACTTCGCTTGCGAGAGTGCAGCTGACACTATAAACACAAGCAAACGATGAAAGGTGTCGTGGTCCGCCTCCTGGTGGTGTTCTCCGGTATAGTTTGAGTAGCCTGGGCACCTACTCCATCTGGGAAGGAGATATCTAAGACCATATTTCGCGCGGAGAAAATAAAATGGATGATGGAGGCATGTCTGGATAACCCAGGGTTTTTGAGATGTTCCCCTGGATGGGTATTCACGGATGAGTGTTGACTTGGGATGAAGAAAAAGCCGCCATAACTTCACAGTGGTACTTGCAAATGAAATCTGAGGCATGAGTGCTCCTCTTGTTAATTGAGTCATCTTTTCTGTACTTTTCTTTCATATTGTGTCATAGCTAGATAGCTGCATACGCAATTAAAATCTGATGCAAAAAAAAAAAAGAATGGCATAAGGAGAGAGAGATAGCAGCTGAGTATATGTGTTTCCCTTAGTTAGAAATATGAGAATCAACTAACGTGTTAACCACCAATCGTTGTTACTGCAATAGAAAGCGTGTAACATATATACCACCAGAGCATTCCCATCTTATCAAAGCGCTAATTAAATTAATTAGCGAAACCAAGGGAAGGACACGATTTACTTGTTTATGTTAAATAGTTGGGAGGCTGATCAATGTATGAGCCTCCATGAACGTGGCGGGTAATTCTCGAAACTTATAAAGTTCCATGTTAATGCGACTCTTCATTTCCAAGTAGCGCCAATTTTAACACTTATGAGAGACGAAAAATTACAGAGATATTATGGATCAAAGGAGAAGCTTTAAGTGCCTTTCAGAAACTCGTCGATAGTTATGAGTTTGAGCTAGTTATCGATGGATGGGTGAAGAGTGCAAATTAGTAAATTATATCCATGAGTACTATCAATTTCTTCGAGGTTTTCCAGTGTTAGAGGGGGACTATTCTCACCACCTGTCAGTGGTGTCCCCCATGAACCTCTAGCTCTCACTGCAGAGTCTAGCCGGCAAAGACGAATTCTTCACCTTCCAGTGGTGCCGGTGTAATCGCTCAGTACGCTCTTCATATCTGGGAAAGCCAAGAAGTATCGCATCCGAATCCAAGTCAAAAGCAACCTCAAGCATATCTCCATTTGGCGACTTCTTGACAATGCCTCTCTTACCATACTCATCTGAGTCCTCAACCTCTCTCTAACCACACATCATCTCGCCTCGACGACCAAAAAGAAGTTGTTCCAATTGCAATCGGGCATTTTCCTCATTAAAAACCGGCCATCACCCACTACAGATTTACGACGCTACGTATACCCGCAAGGGGGAAATGAAGTCATAATATACAAAGCTCGGGTCTTAGTGTTGTGATTAAGGTATGAGTAGGTGTGAGATATTGAATATTCTAGGGACAGTGCAGAGGGTGGATAACGATTGTCAGAGCTTGACGATATGATGAATAGCTTGGTTATATTGTTCTACATATCACAGTAGTAGATGGGACTTATATACATATATTTGGTACCCGCTATACAGTACATCACCGTCTATGCACGAAGTACTACAATCTTAATTCTATGCAATACTGTCCCACATTACTCTATGCCATTGTATAGAGCTGCGCCTCAATAGTCGATCGTAATGATAGCCATGTAGGGCTGTGCGGTACTCGCATAGATGTGTTGTATCCCTGGCACTTGACAGAGATAAATTTAGAGTAAATGCAAAAATCACATCACAACACTTAGTTCGAGCGGGACTGTTACTCTAATGGGGTTTTACATCTTGAGGATAGACAGGCGCCTGAGATGTGGAGCTATATGGGGAACAGGTCTCTGAAGAGCATGCAGGAGCTGGCATTTTTGTTGTAAAGGTAAGAGCTTACGGAGGTTAATTGGCAGAAGGTTTACGGATGATTATTGACGAATCAATGTGAACTGCTAACATATTTGATATTCAAAACTAAAAGGATTTAGGAGGTAGAAAGCGCTAATTATATACACATCTGAAGTAGCCAGACTCTCGCTTTATTTACCCAAAACAGTACCACGGAATATTCTAGTCTCCTCCATCTGGCAGTACAATCTAGAGACACCTTCTATACAGTGCTCCATTGTTCCTCTACTCATCATGGAGCCACCTGGAAAGTTCTTCCTTCACTCTCAGTGATCACTACCCTTGTGCATCGTAATCCTAGCCATCACCAGCACAACAATTTTGGAGGGGTTTTCAATATTGGATTTTTTGTGGGCGACAAGACCAAGATTTCAGCTAGTTAGCCAGGAGGGCTTCTATTGTCGATGAGTCAACGGCACTCCCCAGCGCCCTGGACGGCACGAAAGAAGCTAGGCTAAGCAACTATACAGCAATCACGCTCTGTCAAGACTTTTCTGACATTTCAGCACGACCTTCGGGAAGGAGTTGGAAGGAGACTAGAAAGGCAGAGTGTGAATTTCCCGAGGTACACACAAATCTGCAGCGCCCAGCTGGCCGGCCTCTTCGAACGCTTCAGATGGATCACCATATCTTCGGATTTAGTCCTAATATCGGTGTTAGAAGAGCTCCGCACCAAGTGATTTTCGCTATTTTTCCCCGCTGCCATACACCCGCAAATAGCCATCATTTCGTTGGCTGGAGAGGGGAGATAATGAAGGGTAAAGGGCTCCTCTAAGTGTATGATCGAGTGAGGACTTATGAGGGTTGGTACTGTTTGAGGGGAGTTGCATGGGAGGCATAGGAACGGATATACTACTGGCATAGGTATCCTTGGCCTTTAGGTAGAGAGGACCTGCATGTCCAACATAGTCATAGACTCAGACAGGAAAATAAAAGGAATTAATAATAAACTGCAGAGTCTACAGAGCCTATATTAAGTAACAAAGTCCTTACTTCGATGAGGATTCCCAATCGTTTTCGCCGTCTGTATCTTCTTCATCTCTCAACAGATACCCCATATCACCATTATCATGAAGCTGACCGCGATCAGATCAGATAGTAGGGTCGGAGCCCTACTCGTCACCCACCCTTGATCATGGAGGAAAAGCCATCCGATGAGTTTCCGGAGCGTACCCAGCACCCGATACGGAGATGGTGGATTGGATCAAGTCGGCCTCGACTGTTACAAAGAAGGGAGATATAGATGAATCTCCGCACTTCATGTGGTCCCGGTGTCTAGGCATCGCCTGGCTGGGGCTGCAGGTTTTTTGAGATTTTCTCCCGTGCACGGAGTTTCCATTGCAATCATTTTAATTTTGTTGGGGTAGAAGGTTGCATGGAAAAGGTGGCCTAATTCCACAGGTAAATACTGAGCTGAATCGCTATTCATCACCCGCCATATTTCAATGATCTCTCAAGGAACACAAGAGCATAGAAGCACCGTATAATATGAGGCCTGGGTCAGAGAGGAGCCCATTGTGCTAGATAGTCTTTGACTCAAGTAGTAGAATAAACATACCTCTCTATCATGTAGTGTTACGGTTTGACCGTTGTTTTAGCTTAGGAGGAAACCTAAGCGTTTAATTAGGAATAATTACGATAATACTGATAGAGGAAAGATGGGCAAATAGAGATGAAATGGCATTACCAGCCAGGAGGTCGAAGCAACATCATAGCGTAATGGCTACTGATAATACTTGGCTCGGTAGCAAGTATTAGGCCTAGGGGGAAGTTATCAGTCAGCAGATTCACGAAGCGGACCAAACGTTACAAGTACCTGGTTTTTATTTTTGCATCAGATTTTAAATGCGTATGCAGCTATCTAGCTATGACACAATATCAAAGAAAAGTACAGAATAGATGACTCAATTTACAAGAGAAGCACTCATGCTTCGGGTTTCATTTGCAAGTACCACTGCGAAGTTTTGGCGGCTTTTTCTTCACCCCAAGTCAACCCTCATCCGTGAATACCCACCCAGGGAAACATCTCAAAAATCCTGGGTTATCCAGACATGCCTCCATCACCCATTTTATTTTCTCCGCGCGAAATGTAATCTGAGATGTCTCCTTCCCAAGTGGAGAAGGTGCCCAGGCTACTCAAACTATACCGGAGAACATCACCAGGAGGCGGACCACGACACCTTCCATCGTTTGCTTGTGTTTATAGTGTCAGCTGCACTCTCGCAAGCGAAGTCTTGGCGCACACAAAGCCCAATTCGAAAAACTCCTTGCCAAAATTCGGAATTTCACGCCCTTCGAGGTTATATCCTTCCTTTGTATCAACTTGTAAACTTGTTCCAATATCTCTCACGTCCATCCCAAAAAGCTGTCTCCCAGATTTGTGCACCACGCTTTGCTTCTTCCGTCGGGTATAAATATCGGCGTGGGCGTGTATTTGGTGGTCAACTGAGACCACAGAATGTCGAAGAGAGGTGTGGTCATTGGGATGAGGATGTACTTGGTCGTACTTGAGACTTAATGAGACTTAGGTAGGCGCCAAACTCGTTGGGTGCGGGAAAACGACGTGGTGGAGTAATTTTAAAATTTGCCTCGTGGGCCAACTTCATTAATATTGCGAAATTTGACTGAACTTGGCTCTAGGAGAATATTTCACTCCCAGGTTCGTAGAGGACACCGTGTACAGGTGTTCAGTCTTGCCCTCCTATAAGCACCTGTTAGTAGTAGCTAAAGATTTCTTTTCTCATCATATAGTTTAATAAATCGATTTATTCATCACCAACTCGGTTTCCGTCACATGTAGCTGTTCTGTCCACAAGAAGCGCTGGAAATTGTTCGGAAAAAGGTCAAACAGCCAAAGGCTCTAGCCTCTTCATATCTCTAGTCGCAATAAGCTACTTCCTGCGGTCTTAGAAGACAGGTCTAAAAGTTCAAAATTATTTCATCTTTCGAAAAGAAACCTTTTATTGTTTTACATCTTGTAGATTCAGTCCTTACCTATCTCACTCAAGTTAAATGTGAGCCTTTAAGAATTCCTGTCATTCTCGCGATTCTCGGACGCAATGGAATAGGAAACTTTCAGATTCTTGCCTTTTTTAATACTCTTTGTTGGAAATTCTGACTCTCTGTGACGGCTAGTAAGCCGGTAGATTGCCTGTAGCCTGTGATATTCATCTCATGCATACTTATTACCTCAGCGCTAAGATACGTTGGTATTAAGAGTCTGGTACTCCCCGTGCACGAAACATCGTTGGTAACTAGCCCACACTTTAATAGTGGGAGCCGGACTAGAGGACAGAGACTAGTGTTTGAAATATTGGAATCATGTATATAAATAGGGCGTTGAGTGTAGCAGTAGTCTTGTTCTTCAGTTAGTAAATAAACTTACCTTTCGACATATGAACGCCCAAGCTTTATTTATCGGAACTGTTACACTCTCGAATTTAGGACTCAATCATTACCTGTTTCGTCTCAGGTTCCCGACAAGATCGACTCTCTCTACAAATGTACTGAGTACGCTAATCGCGCCTACTGTCGCCTATACGTTTTGATATTTACGTACTAAAGTGTACCTTGGCTCATCATGGTAGATGAGAGGTGGCTAGTCATCACTAGGTTTGACAGGCACACGAGGCTAGCGGGAATTTCTCCCTTAGATGTATATATAAGTCCAATGTTCCCTTAGTTGTAAAATATCAAGTCTTCTTTACTTCATCATATTTATCCATATAATATCGTACAGAGTATATTTTCTAACACTCTATCTATTCTATCATCTTTACCTAACTGATTTACATCCCACCTCTTTTTAATCTTGCTCCATGACATAAAACTACACAACAAAGTATTTTAAATTTTAATTTCCGAAAGAGTGTTTTTCTTAGACATGTGTATCAAGATATCAAGCTTTATATAAAGGCCGCTGTTGGGATTACAGGGTGATATCACGTCTCTACTAGAGTAGGTAAAGTTATGATATATTTGATTTGTCGATAATTTTTCTCTACAACTAATCTCATACTATGAAGTACAGCTAGGAGTCAACCCTTTTATGCAAATGGGCTCAGATGTTTCATATCACATAACTAGTTAATGTGTTATACTGACAGCCGCTACGAAAAGATTTTCCGCTTTCATATTATTGCCAAAAGATAATTTTATCCAGCTTAATTATTGTAAACAAAAGATTGGCAGGTTAGATCGTATAATAGTTTGCCTTCAGCATCAACAATACCAAGTGAGGATGATTCTTGTTTGTGTTGCAAAGATCTCCAGAATACATTATATATCTCAAAGAGTGGGCAGGCAATGTTTTTCCAGATAGCCTGGGCGATTTCAATTGTGGGTACAACTTCGAAAACTGGGTTACTAATGGCAGGCAATCCACCCTCAGTAATCCAGATTGATGAGTTAGAGCCAGTAGCTGCTACGGTTTCCCTAACTTGATCAAGACTGTCATAGTATGCCTTAACGCTGTCTTTTATCGAAATTATATCGTTGTTCTGGAGTGAAAGGTTTAACTTGGTTCCGATAAAGTCACAGGCTTTAATGACAGGCGAGTTCTTCTCATTAATCCAGGCAGTCCAAGTATCAATATGTCCGACCAGAACGTTTGTTTTGTTTTTCACCACAGTAGATAGCATACCACGAACATCATATATCTTTTCAGCCAGAGAATTAGACATATACTCATCGCTTCCCAATTCGTCGTATCCAACTGATACGGCAGCTAGCCATTCAGAGCCGTGATTTGTGACAGCTTCCAACAGCTGTTGCTTTTCTACTGCAAAAAGTTCTGGATGTTGTACTGAGATACCAGCTAAAACTTTACCTCCGGTAGCAATAGCGGCTGGTGCAATCACGTTTATAGCGTTGCATTCTAATGATGAGAACAAACGTAAGCTATCGAAATTTCCTGGAAGCGAAAGTGTCGTATTGAAGTCTGCTTCCCAATCTGATTGTGTCTTGCAAGATCCATCAGTGTTGCGTACTTGAGCGTTAAATCCTTGTATCAAGGCATTGGAGCTGCCTATGGAGATGGCAATACCGACGTAAGTGGATAGTAGCATGTTTTTGACTAAAATTTTGATTAAAGACGTATATAAGATAAGATGGTTTCAGTTGATTGAATGGTTGACTACTGATTGCGCCCCGGGTCTGAGACCAGATATATATACTCTTCCTTGAGCAGTAAAGAGGGATTGGAATTACTTACTAGCAAAGCTTAACTCTCTTCCCTCATCCACGCTAGAGGACAAATTTGGTTGTCCATGCCCGGGAGGTTGCGAGTCCTTCAAGCATGCCATGAAAATGGGTCAAAGTTGTGGAGTACTGATTAATGGATTCGAAACTTTTCATCAGCCACAGCCTAGTAATCTCGATATATCTCCTGAAAATGACAACATTGTGGAGTTTAGTTCTGCCACAATTTCCCGCTCGATGTTAGAAATAAAGTTATATGATTCTATTCCGAGGTTTTCTCTTGGCTTGTTTGATCTCGTGACCTGTGATCAGATCTTCGCGGCCAAATTATCAGCTAAGAAATATTCATTTCTTCATATACCGAGTCATAATTTACTCGAGAGATGTCAGAAAAGTTTTTCATGAATGTTCATTGAATTATACTGGGGCTTAAGGAGTAAGTATTCACTTGCAAGAATAGCTAGCCTGCCTCGTCTGTGGGCAGATTTGTCTTCAGCTTATCGGATACTGTGATGTGAATCTGGCCAATATCCTATTAATTCCTCTATGTCATCTACGAATCGTGGTCCTAATAAGCCTTTCATACAAAGTCCTGGACTAAGTTGCATAGCAAATTTCACATCTCATTCTTGATTATGAAAACTGGTAGATCCTTGAGGTTATGAAATCCGCTTCGTAAAAACTACTGTTTTTTATGACGAGGGCTCTTCTAGTTAAGGAAGAAATCATTAGGCTAGAAAGATAAAAGTTTATTTGACAAGCTTTTCTGTCCACTACTTTTGCGAGATGGCTTCAATTCGTGTAAGTGATTGAATCGACTACGCGATTCTAGCGTGCTCTCTCCGATTTATTGTGTGCTTCCTATTGGATGCGTGGAGATAATTGCCTTGGATAATCTAGGTTAGGTCTATTGCGATTGACGAAAAAGTAGGATTTCCGAGTCATGATCCTAGCGTCCACCTAAAGAATAGCCTTAGTAACTCATTCGACGATGATCTCTTTAGAAAAGGACTTATTGGAGTACTCGGGTAGAATTAATATCACAGGCTTTATACAGCAGCAATAACAATTAGTGGTTAGTGTTGTGGGATCTAGTGCACAAACTCTTGCGGTTCACTGTAGACGGCCCGTGTGCAATGCTGGTCTTTGGGTCCGCTTAGTCATACCTCTGTAAAAATATCTTTCCTTTCCAGATGCTCTTATATCACTTTGTAGTTATTCTTGCGTTATCATAACTTTAGGAAATCAGAATAAATTTCGTATATTTCGATATTTCGATATTTCGATATATCGATTAGATCACAATCACATTCCGTGACAGCTAACACATATCTTTATTCTTGTCTAATAACTAAAGGAAACACGTATATACAGCAGTTAACCCTCACTCCTAATGCCATTCCTAAATAGGTAAATTATTAGTCATCATTTATAAGATCATACCTGAAAGGTCATCAAGTCACAAGGTTATTCGACAGGATTATTGATCGTTTCTGGGGTTACGCTAAGGATAACGAAAATATCTTGAGTTTCCTGACGCATAAAGCGTGAGATGTATCTATAAACTGACTCATCAAAAAGTTGGTGAAGGCGTTAATGGCTGATAAATGAGCAGCTGTGTCCCCTGCATTTGTAGGATTTGGAATTCCATGCCAATCCTTGCTCATCAAACTTCCACTTAATGCAAGGCTGGCCTAATAGTTATAGGAAGAAAAATAAGTACCTGACAGAAGAAAAGTCCCAGGAGTAGATAATCTACGGTGCAAGTGTGGATATCCGTCCCTGAATGTGAAGCACATGATCATGGCCTCCGCCAGCTGGGCCAAAGGAAGAGAAGAAATACTGAGAAAAGTAGAAAACCGGTCATTTGAAGCAATGATAAATAATCTCAGAGACATAGCAAGGATAACTAGTTAGAGGGGGACTATTCTCAACACCTGTCAGTGGTGTCCCCTACGAACCTCCAGCTCTCACTGTAGAGTCTGCAGAGCCGAGATTGAGTAACAAAGTCCTCACTTCGACGAGGATTCCCAATCGCTTTCGCCGTCTGTATCGTCTTCATCTCTCAACACATTCCCCTATCACCACTATCATGAAGCTAACCGCGATCAGATCAGATAGTAGGGTCGGAGCCCTACTCGTCACCCACCCTTGATCATGGAGGAAAAGCCATCCGATGAGTTTCCGGAGCGTACCCAGCACCCGATACGGAGATGGTGGATTGGATCAAGTCGACCTCGACTGTTACAAAGAAGGGAGATATAGATGAATCTGCGCACCTCATGTGGTCTCGGTGTCTAGGCCTCGGCTGGCTGGGGCTGCAGGTTTTTTGAAGACTTTTTCCCGGGCACGCAGTTTCCATCGCTACCATTTTTATTTTTTTTGGGTAGAAGGTTCCGTGGAAAAGGTGGCTAAATTCCACGGGTAAATACTGAGCTGAATGGCTATTCATCAAGGGGAATATATCAATGATCTTTCAAGTAACAAAAGAGGATAGGAGCACTATACAAGGTGTGGCCTGGGTCAGAGAGGAGCCCAATGTGCTAGATATCCTATGACTCAAGTAGTACAATAAACACACACACCATCACATTCACTCTGTGACTATGTATTATTATTATTATTATTATTATTTGATTTGTGTTCATTGTCCAGATTTGGCGCCCTATGGGCACATGCAGGTGGCTATAAACCTATCTATATATTTACATAGGAGGAAACCTCTCGGTGAAAACCCCCCAAGCTTTCTGATTTAATTCTTATAGTTTGCAGTTTATCCTTCAGGAAGTACAGTTACACTGTAACGCCGTCGATGTGTACCAATCACGTCCCTTCTATCGACCCTAACCTTCTATATGTTCCGTCTCGTTCCATGAGCAGCATTTCGACTGCATTTGTCAAGCGGAATTGTTCTATCCAACCATGATTAAGAATCCATCGTGTGATTCTTTTCATATCGCTAGGATTGTTGGTCATTGCTTCAAAGGAGCGATTTCGGGCTTGTCTCCAGATTTCTCCTCTACCAATTGACCACTTAGGGCAGGACATGATCATGTGCTTGGGATTTTGTGATTGGTAGCTACACGGACAGCATGGATTGTAGACTCCTGGTATTTTTCTTCTATGCAAATACGAATTGAGCCCGATATGCTCGCTTCGAATTTGGAATGCTAAGCTACTTTGGGCCCTCATCAGGTTTTTGTGGAGAGAAAATGGCGACTCCCGGAAGTTTATTTTTGTACGTCCAGAATGGCGGCATTGGTAAAACTTTGCTGCTGCCCAAGTTTTAGGATCTGCTGAAGCAAATCTTTTAGGCTGTCGAGTTCGCTTTGTGGCTGACCAAGATTTCGCCCATTCTAGGTACGCTGCAACTCTTATCGCTATTATTATTATTAATATTATTATTATTTGAATTTTGAATTTGATTTCATTTAGCCTGATTTGGCGCCCTATGGGCCCATGCAGGTGTCTACGAACTCTAATATTTACATAGGAGGAAACCTTGCAGTAAAAACCCCCTTAGCTGTCTGACTTGACTCTGTGCGATTATGGTCTTACCTCTAGGAAGTGCACTCACACTGTTGTTGCCAGTGTGGATTCCGTCCTTGTCCTGTGTATCCATTTTCCTCTCTCCGCCTGATTAACGCCTCGATTTCCCCGGTCATCCGAAACTGCCCTAGCCATCCTTCCTTTTGAATCCACTGCGCAATTCTGGTCATATCTTTGACGTTATTTACCATAGCTTCGAAGGATCGAGTTGTCGATTTTCGTAGCAACTCACCTCTTCCCTTTGCCCATCTTGGACAAGACATCACCATGTGCTTTATATTTTGGGACGGATATCCACATTGGCAGCATGGTTTTCCTACTCCTGGCACGTTCCTTCTGTATAAGTAAGCATTGAGCCCAATGTGCTCGCTTCTTACTTGTGTGGCAATGCTACTCTGGGCCCTGCTAAGGTTTTGGTGGATTTGGATGGGTGATTCTTTATAGTTCATCATAAGTCTACCTGTTTTCTTGTCGTTATATAAGTTTGCAGCATTCCACTTATCCGGATTGGCTTGCGCTCGGGGACCCAAGTGTCGCCCCTTCTTCTGGCTCGTCCACGATTCTGACCATTCCTTGAACGCGGCGTTTTTACCGGCTACCTTTTGTCCTGTTTTAGAGTCAATGTTGCTGCAGATTAAGGTCCATTCCGCTATATCATCTCTCCTGTTTTGATCGCGTTTACTTAAATTTTCTTCTTCAAAATATTTGATTTTTCTGCGTGCACTTGAAATTGTCTGTTGGATAGGTAGGTTATTGGATAGCCCGGTATATTGAAGCCGCCTTTGTTTGAGGTAGATCTCTATCGGGAGAGTTGACGTTTCATGCTCTAGCATTCTACTACTGGTCGACTGGTATGCCCCTGTAATGACCTTGAGGAATTTCCTTTGGACACTTCTGAGTGGCTTAAGTATTCTTTCAGGGATGTTGCCTGTTTATTATTATTATTATTATTATTATTATTATTATTATTATTATTATTATTATTATTATTATTATTATTATTATTATTATTATTATTATTATTATTATTATTATTATTATTATTATTATTATTATTATTATTATTATTATTATTATTATTATTATTATTATTATTATTATTATTATTATTATTATTATTATTATTATTATTATTATTATTATTATTATTATTATTATTATTATTATTATTATTATTATTATTATTATTATTATTATTATTATTATTATTATTATTATTATTATTATTATTATTATTATTATTATTATTATTATTATTATTATTATTATATTATTATTATTATTATTATTATTATTATTATTATTATTATTATTATTA